GGCTGCCCTGGGGAACAGATTTTGGGAGGGCGAAGAGAGTGGAAATGATTTATAATCTAATTTCATGGTTCTCCAACTTGGAGCTCCAGAGGTGCCTGGACCACAATGTCCAGGAGAATCACACACCTGGCTTTAGATGTTATGGACCTTACCTTTGTTTGGGAAGGGGGAAGCACCGTTGGCAGCTTTGCCTTAGAGCACAACATGTCTGTATGGGTGCAATTTCCCTGAACTTTGCATCACTTCTCCCCCTTCCTTCCCAGCTGTGCCTTCTGACATGGCATCTTCTGTGGAGGCAGGTGTTCGCTGGGAGTCGCTCCATGTGCTGATTTGTCAATTTGTATTTGTACGAATCTATGGCCACGATGAATATGAATCAACAAATTGTCAATGATTTTTCATTCATTGATTGGTTTGGATATAAAATGCCTCCCCTGGAAGCTAGAGACACCAAAATGACAGGGAATCCCCCCATGACTTTATTCTACATTCCCCCTAATTTTGGTGAAGACTGGATTTCAGATCTCCAAGTCATCCAACCCAGAAAGAGTGCCACCCCAAGAAAGTTCCTTCTGGCACTTGAAGACTCCAAGATCACAGAGAAGGTTCTCCTGACTCTCCTCTACAATCCCTCCACGTTTGGTGAAGATTGGGTTTCCCCAAGCCGGCCACTAAAGGGCACTTTCAGGGCGGGGGGGGGACCCACGTTCCCCATGAGATGCACAAGTTAAAGTGGTGGGATCGAGAGAAAGGCCTCATGGGTATAAGGAGGTCTGAAGATTCAACGATACTAGGATGACAATATAATATGTTTTAATACAATCGTCTAAGGAACAGATGGTACAGTTTTAGGTTGAGATCAAGAGTACAGTTTGGAAATAATTCATTAAAAATAAATTTGGTGCACACACACACACGGACACACACGGACACGCACCAATATATTAAACATTTCAATGAATTGATATTTTAAAAAAGTTAAAACACTAGCCTTGGCAATATTTTCTGTGATGATGAGTAATCTACATTAATTCAACTCCTCCCTGGAAGACAGAAGGAATTTGGGGGAGATGTAAGGCCATTTCTAGTAATTTAAATTTACTGGTTTATGTTCACAGTGATGTATGGTTTATGTGAACAATCAAGGCAGTGAATTATTTTTTCCTCAGGCGAGTTCTAGTAATTTACTAGAATTTACACAATGGTTTATGTTAACAATCAAGGCAGTGAATTATTTTTTCCTCCCAATTTTCTGTTTCTGGTTGTATGGGGATTGATGGATTTCCTCAATCAAATTAATGCCAGCCTATTAGCACTACTGTAGTATTCAAATTCGTACTTTTCAGATGTAATTTCTGGATGTAACACAACACCGAGAACCCCCAGCCAGCAGGATAATAGGAGTTGTAGTCCAGGACTGTTGGAGGGCACAGGATTGATGCCTGCTCTGCTCTGCATAGGGCACATGGCCAGTCTCCTGTTGTGTATGCAGATCATTCTAATGTGGCCACTTTATTTCCAAGCTGTCGGTTGCTTTCAATAGTTGATCAGTGGTATTGCTGGACTGGACGATGTAACTAAGGAGTCACTTGTTGTGCACTTTGGAATCACAACTCTTCGCCTGGGGAGATTCACTGTGACCATAAAAAAGGACCACATGCACCACACATTAGCCTCGAAATAGGGGTTACAATAGGACAGCCTTCCTGGGGTGGTCACCCTCCGGTTGTTGAGCATTGCCGTTTCCATCTTTGGGGCTGTTGCTGGCTGAGCTTGGAGATGTTCCTTTTCTTGGACTACAACACCTGGAAGCCCCAGCCAGCATGATAATAGGAGTTGTAGTCCTGTACCTTTGGAGGGCACTGGGTTGCTGCCAGCTCTTCTAAGAGAAGAGAGTATAAGGGTGACTGTTTGGAATATGGACACAGAGAGGCAGAGAACTGAAAGAAAAACCCATTTAAGACATTTAAGAAAGGATAAAAAAGAGACAAACACAACAAAGATATTTTTTGACACAGTTTATTTTATTTTGGACCTTTAGGATTGCCCTAATGGGTGGTCCCTGCTGGATGCCCAGAGGAAGGCGAAAAACCTCCAGGACCTCCGGCCAATTTGCCCTGGAGGAAAATTCCTTCCCGACCCCAAATGTGGCGATCAGTGTTACCCTGGGCATATCAGCAAAGACCAGAAACCACCACCCGGCCGATGGCACAACATCCACAGACTCCCTCAGCAACAGCCCTGCTGGTTTGAGCGTCTGAGAGCTGGAACACAGGAAAAGCTCCGTGTTACCTGAAAGATTAATAAACGTCTTC